GGCCCGAAAAGGGCCTACCATGACAAATCTCTAGCACCTGAAGACACCGCGGATCCAACCGAAAAGCAAAGACCTCAATTACCCACAACACAAAAGATGTAGCCCGAGCCCCCCATGAGGAACCTGGGACATGCTTTTGTGGGGGGAGAGAATGATAGGGAATATTCTAATACTACCCACATGACAATGATTGACAGTTATTGATAAACTGTAAAGAGCATCACATGCGCAGTAGAAAATAAAGATAAAAATTAATTTTTCAAAATAATCTTATCTAATCACCGTGTGAAGATTGGGAGTGTAAAACTCAAAAGCGATGAAACTGCATAACTGCATAAAGTGGTTGAGATGTTCTCACATAAGGGAGATTGTATATCCCATAATATGCATATCTCGGTCCATGGACAAAGAAGCTCTCGCAAACTTCGCTCTAGCGGTGATCCACATAGCAGATGCAACAATGAGGCAGCTCTTCGTGCAGTACATTTTTTCCTCACATATGCGCACCATCACACCGCAGCGACCAAGGAGGGATCGGTCCCTCTTGCTGTCCTCTGACATTAGAGAAGGGGAAGGGAGGAGATGAATGAAATGGTGATAGCAGGGGTCTAGCCTATAGTCCTCTATGCCCTAACTCTTATACATAAAGAGTCATCTTTACTTACCCTAATGGATCTTGTCTTAATGGGTACTGGATCTTTATCATGCTAGTCATATGAAAAAAATAATATCCCCACACAAACAGCTATGAGACTATTTGCCTCTATTAGATAGATGGGTATATAATATACCGGTCTATTCGATTATATCGATGTCCCTTTCGAATAACTTATGATTGAGAATATTTAGTTATCTTTGTTTAAATACGATTTGGTCTCATTTATCAGATCTCATCATGATCCAATTCTTATTGCATAAATTCAAGGACATCACAAGATATATTCATCACATAATAAAAAATAAGAAAATATCATAATAATAATAAACCGAAAGATATCATGCAATATATTATATATGTCATCACTCATATGTTTGATTTATAAGATACTTATAACTAACAATAGTTACCTAAGAGTTGGTGTGATATCTCGAAGTTGACGTGGTGCCTCAAAGCCAACGTGGCGCCTTGGAGTCGATAGCCGCACCTCAATACCAAAGAGGTGCATGCGCATGTATGAACTTGAAGGGACGCAGCGTCCTCGTGATAACATACAACCGTGCCCACGCCACTCAAGGTCATACAAGACGATGTCGCACGTCATGAAACAGTGCAAGTTGACTCGCATTGTCCGAAGAATATGTTCTGGTCGCTTGGAGTATCGGCAGCCATTAGCGATCTGAGTACGATCGACTCCTTATGATAAGTATAATATCGACCCCCCTAGTCAATGTTAGGGGATCGGGCCTCGGACACTCAAAATACCCTTAGACCCATCTAATTCTAATTTTAGCTTTAGAGGGGTCGAGTCGGGAATCCCCTTATAGTCATCGGTTAATGTGTGGGAATCCCATGCGGAAGTGGCTCCCCAGCTCTACCTTGGGTCAATCCAGAAGGCGCTAATCCCGACCCGATCTCCTTACTCTCACCTCAAGCACCCACGCAAACGATCTTATGCTTTCGAGATTGAACCGAGCTGACTCCCCAGGCATAATGTAAAATTATATAACAGATGTAAATATTGAATGATTTGTGACTAAAATGAATATATTTAGATGGATATTTGGGAGTTACTAAGAAAACATAAAATAATATATGAATAATTAATTACTTGTAAATCTAACATAAATATAATTAAGAAAAATAATTCATAATAATATGAACATATGCTAACCAGACATATATATCATATTTAGAAATATGAAAAAAATTAGAATGATAAAAGGCAATGGACAACTTAAAAAATATAAAATTTAAATAAAAATTTAAATACCTTTAGATAATTTGATTTGAAATTCAATGTTGACGATAGATTAACATTACCAATTCCTCCAAATAGTAGGGATATTATGACTTATCGCTTTTGTCATAAAAACATCCTACTCCATCGAATATCTATTAATAAAAACTCACTTTAAGAAACCATGATTTTAATTCAAATATAAATTGTATCAGAAGTTTAACATATTAATAATGATCATATTAATTAAAGGCACAAGGTAGGGCCTAACTGATAGAGATTAATTACAAAGGCGTTTATAGATGTATAAGATCCTAGCGATTATGGAGGATATATGTGGAGAAAGACTCAATTTGACCTTTCTAATTTATAATATTTCTTGTAATATCTCTTGTATAATAATAATAATAATACCCCAACCCCAATTCTACCAATTGTATACTTGCAGCCGATGGCAAATGATTAATGTACAAAGGAGATAATAATTTAATATTCGATTTTAACTTTTGTTTGAGGTTCGTAGAGTTGTCCAAAATCCGAATAATATTCTCTGAACATTCCAAATATATGTTTGGATGTTTGTGATGACTTTTCCGTGTGGGTTAAACGATGATTTGATTTTATATGCACTTCACCTAATAATTCACAAGAAAAATAGGAAAGATACAAATCATCTATCAAATCTCACTATCTCGGGAAGGCAAAAAAACCTGCATACACGTCCTAAGTTAATCTTTATCTACCAACATTAGATATATTATGAAGATAAGAAATTAAATATATATTTTTGATATTTTAATTTGAATTAACTAATAATAATCATAGTTATAATTAGTTAACCCATTTTCGGGTGAATGTTAGCTAGAGATAAGCTCTTATTATTTTAATAACATAAGCACTTATTATTTTGGAGATAACATAAAAAAAACTTAAGAACCGAAAAAAAATCATAATATATCTCTCTACCATACGACAAGTGATACATATTAACCACATAAGTTAAACTATATCTATTGTAATATATTATAAAATTAAAATATAAAAAATACGTAAATGTGTATATGTTAAATTGGGTAACCCAATGAAAGTAAATTTAGGTCTAAAATTAATTTGATCATTTTTTTTTTGTTCTTGGAGCTCAATATGTTTCTTCTCTTTCTATACATGTATAATATCAAATTCTAGTTAGTCGAATCCTAATCGAATGCTCCAATCGTCTACATAATTGATAAACAAAGTTTTAAATTTCAAATTAATTTCAACTCGATTTGTTTGCGAACAATATAATTCAAATATGAATAATAATTTATTGGCTATTTTTGTGGCCATAGGAAATTAGGGTTTATGGATACCGACAATAAATTAAGTATTGATTTAAATGACAAAAATTCATTGTATTATTTCATAAATAATTTCAACTATCCCAATTTGAGTTCCAAAGTTATTTGTCAATCCAAATTACAAAGACAATTTGACTTTATCCTGATTATAAATCTTGGTGTAAATCGAGAACCACCAATAAACTTAGATCTTAAATCAAATTGATTGAATGAGTGCAAGTGATAGTTTATAGAGGAGAGAGAATATCTTAAATCATGTCACTAAGTGAATAATATATATATATATATATATATATTATAATTTATGCTTTTATTGATAGGTTAATTATAATTTAATATGTATGAAACTCGGACAGTACATACAAATTTTATATCGAATGAATATTAAATTAAATACTGCCCGAAGTTTAAAATTTATATTTAATCATGGCAAATACTTATTTTGATTTAACGAACTTACAGATAGGAGCAAAATGGAGTTCGAACCACTAATTTTTCTGTGTATAGGCTTGTTGAAGGGTACAATGGCCTCGTCTTGCACGAACTGTATCGATCAATATTTATTGATCCAGATATAGACTTATAGCCATACCTTCATTTTCAAATGTTCGATATTTATTGATCCATCTGTAAACTTAAATGTATACCAACCATTTTCAAGTTGTCAAGCTTATCATCCGGTCCATCTGTTTTATTATTATTATTATTATTATTATTATTATTATTATTATTATTATTATTATTATTATTTATCGACTTTCATTCTGCTATTTTTTTAACGATTAATAGATAATCATATTTTTATTTTTAAATAAACTTGAGAAATGAAAGGTTTAAGATTTAAAATATCTTACCTTGTGTTCATGATAAAATCAATTAAAAAATAAATAAAATAAAAACATTACGACTTATCATTATTGAGCGAATATAAATTTCAAAGAGATATGATGGATGACAAAAGTTTCTGAGCTGGGTTAAATATGGAAACTTCATCTTGATTAAAAGAATAAGATGTTATTTATTAGGTCCCTTTGATTCTGATGGTAAGAAAATTATTACGATGGATGGTAAAGAAAGAGGAGAGAAAATAACTTGTGTAATTACAAGACATTTTAACTGGAGATATCTCGGGACATGCATGCAATTATGACAATATTTTGTGAGTCATTTTGATTTAGAAAATATTTGAGCCATTTTGTTGTTTTTCTACGTGCACATATGCACAGTTTATTACAAACTCTTTATAACAAAAAAGATTTATATCTTCAAAATAACCTTAGATGTCCATTTTGAATAAATAAAAGTAATTTCATAAGAAACCCATGCTTTATAATATAATATACACATATGTATTGTCTTTGCTTTTTTGCAATTAAAACACAACGTGGAGAGAGATATGGGTGAAGTAAAAGAGTCTAAAGGAAAATAGAATAAAAAATACAAATGTATTTATTTATTTGCATTCCTCAAATTCAATTATAATGATGAAAATTAGGTCATTTAGGCTTGTGATGAGTATTAAAGGAAGGAGAATATATGCAAAGATATCCAACCTCGAATAGACTAAATTACCCCTAAGACGATCAGCTAAAGTTCATGGTGGCAGATACATACATTTAAGGATATCCGACCTCACATAGACTAAATTACCCCTGAGGCGATCGGCGATGACGGCCTCTCTCACCGACTTTTGGCCGAGGGTAATTTAGTTATTCAGCACAGGCATTAACAAATTATTTCCTCGGTTCGGTCCGGCGCTCTCATCCATTCGCTCTTTCCTTTTTCCTTCCTCTTCTCCCGTGCCCTCCAGTCGTCGAGACCGAGAACGCGATCGCGAGTTCTCGAGACGAGGGCGAGCCAGAGAGAAGAGGATGAGGTATGGGAGTTCCGGCCTTCTACCGATGGCTCGCCGATCGCTACCCGCTCTCGATCTCGGACGTGATCGAGCAGGAGCCCGCCGAGGGCATGGGCGGCGCCCCCCTTCCCTTGGATCTCACCGAGCCTAACCCTAACGGCTTCGAATTCGACAATCTCTACTTGGACATGAACGGCATCATCCACCCCTGCTTCCACCCCGATGGAAGGGTGAGCATGCTCCTCTTCTGTTGGGTCATTTGCTTCTTGCCCTATATTTTTGCTTTCGCGTGAGGAATATAGATGCAGATTTGATGATGCTATCGACGTAGATAAAGGATATCCGTGATTGTCTGTATGAAACATTTTGGTAGGTAGCTTTTAGATCTTGGGTAGATGAGGTGAAACAACAAATTTCTAGGTTACGAGTTATTTGAATCAGGAACGCATCCATAAATCTATATACTGCGGCGTGCTTAGAACGAATCAAGTTGATTTAATGTTTGTGCTCGGGCCGTGGTAGGTTTTGTGATAGCACACGAAGTGAATACTAAGTCAACCGGCTATTTTGTGGTCTTTAATTATGTGTTTTTGCATGTTTGTTATGGTTCAGGTCCAAATGATTGCTCATCATGCCCACCTATGATAAGCTTAAAACCATTGTTTTCATTAGCATATGAACTTTCAAGAAATAGCACTGAAGATTTGGAATAGCAAGTTTCTTGATATTGTCTGAAGGCCTTTGATATAAGGTACCACAAATATGAGAAGGTTAATTGGATGTTTAGCATGTTGCATGAACCAGTTAGATGGTGATACAAAGAATTCAAGGTTCTTGTGACACATGGGCCAATAGTTCCTTTAAAAGAATGAGTCCTTAATTGAAACTTACAGAAATAAATTTTTCTCTTGAGGAATCTTCACAAAGGTTGACCAAAATGCAATGCTATTGACTGGAAAATTTGCTGTGGTCAAGAAAGGAAAGCTTGACTAGTTAAATGAGTGACAATAGCCTACTTCTTTGGTGTCATGCATGGATTTAATTGCCTTAGCAATTCGATCTGGCACAAGCTGAATGCAAGTCAGAAAGAAGTGCTAGTACAATAATTGGTTGGTGAGGGAAGGAAATTTCTGTTCATAGTATCGGTATGACAAAACTTTCCTCTACTGGAGGTAGTGATTTGGGATCAATATGCTAACCCATTGTCTAGGTGCTTAATTGAGATAGTCACTAATTGGGAGTCAAGGAAGGATACTATTTTTTGCATAAAGTTTGAGTGGCGTACTACTGATAACTTGGGAATTAGCAATTTGGTCCATGTTGTTCGTGTCAGTGAAAGTTCCTAGACAGTGGGTTATTTGAATTGCGACTGAACAACATGCCTAAAGTATCAATTATCATAATTAATATAGGAATTGCTTATGACTTGGAATCCTTCTCTTTAGGCAATCATTCTCCCTGTCTGAATGCTGTTTCCTATTTCAAGTATGATGCAGCCTTAATGTTTAGTACAAAACTTAAGACCTTGGGAAATGCAGCACTAGTTCATATTCTTCAGCTATCAATGCTGTCATGTCCTTCCTTGTTGGCTGCTTGGTTCAATGTGTTTCTCCATAGAATCTGCAGCTGTTGCATCATCATCACTAGTTTCTTCAGGTGCTTTGTAAGGTATAGAAATGGGTTAAACAACAGTAATTACAGTAGTGGATTTGCATTTAAACTTACTTTACTTTTCATATCAAAAAGCAGTTGTAACATTGATTAAGTAATTGCACAGACAGGTTTTTGCTACAAGTACAAGCAATATAAGTTATGAACATGGTCTAATAATTCATTCCACTATTCTATAGAAACCTAAAAATTGCTGATTAGATGTATGTAAATTTTCACCTGGTGAAGCAGTGTACTGTTAAAATGAAAAAGCTTGCGTAAAGTCATGTATTATATTCTTCAAAACAAAGAGCTGAATATATCATTTGGTTATGAAAGCTACTGCCTTACATATTGTGAAATTGAGAACATCATATACCGTCTAATCAATTATTGCCACATTGAATGATTAACGTTCTTTGTACGTGCAGCCTTTGCCTGCTACTTATGATGATGTTTTCAAGTCCATCTTTGACTATATAGATCATCTCTTTGGACTCGTACGTCCCCGAAAGCTGTTGTATATGGCAATAGGTGAGCGGCATAGATTCTTATGTGTTGTCTTCATGGTTGGCTGTCTTTGCAGCATAATTTATCTGGATTATATACTTTTCTGAATTTCTTCAGATGGTGTCGCTCCAAGGGCTAAGATGAATCAGCAACGTTCCCGACGTTTTAGAGCTGCAAAAGATGCAGCTGAGGCAGTAAGTAGAATCTTATTGTTGTTGGCAAGAATTACTGTGGCTCTCTTTAACATGTAAATACCAACTCGGTGCATTCCCCAGGCGGCTGAAGAGGAAAGATTGAGAGAAGAGTTTGAGTCTGAAGGAAGAAAATTGTTTCCTACGGAGAAGCCTGAGACAGCAGATTCAAATGTTATAACTCCGGGGACTGAGTTCATGGCTGTCCTCTCCGTTGCACTCCAGTATTATGTGCATTTGAGATTGAATTGCACCCCTGGATGGCAGTCAATTAAGGTGTTAACCTGCTTGTATCAAGTACTTGATGCATGATTTAGGGTCATATAGTTTCCCTTGCTCAGCGATGTAATCATTGCTGGTTTTATTTCGTCAATCACTTGATTTCAGGAAACTATTCTGTAATTGTTTTCATGGAGATGTGCATTGGGTGATTATTTGAAGGTTATATTGTCTGATGCAAATGTGCCTGGAGAGGGTGAACACAAAATTATGTCATACATCCGCTTACAACGCAGTCTTCCTGGTTTCAACCCGAACACACGCCATTGTTTATATGGCCTGGTGTGTATAATTGCTGACTTTTTTTGCAGTTTCCCTTTATGTATTTGTTTATCTGTTTTCTTAATATGGCTCTACTATTTTGCAGGATGCAGATCTGATCATGCTTTCTTTGGCAACTCATGAGGTCCATTTTTCGATCTTACGTGAGGTATGCAAAGTTTGTCCTGTGATTCTGACATGGATCAACATTTCATTAGTTAAGTATCTCTAATGACATGCTTTTGTATTCCTAGCCACAAGTATATAGATACGGGATGCCGTTATGACAAGATGTTATGAACTATGAACAATTTGATGAATGAATTTTTTAAAGAAATAGGATATTTTATAACAAAGATAGAGCAAGAGAAATGCTTTCAGACACATAATGTATGACAAAGTTTCACATATACTTGGGAGTGTTAGATTGTGCAGTTATGTATGATGATCAGTGATGAAAAATGATTGGCATCCATATTTATTCATTGTGAAATAAATTATTTTCTATGACATGATACTTAGAGAATGTAGAGAAGATATAAAATAAATAAGCACATTAATTTTATTAGTAATAATTTGACATCCAATATAACTGTTAGGTAAATAATCGATCTTGTCATATAGCCATCTCATGTAGAATAATTAAAACATCAGCATTCAAGAAAACAATGTATTCTAAACAAGTACTTGTTAAATTTATTGCAGTCATCTGAGAAGTGTATAATTCTTTTAACAATTATTTGAAAAAGAATTGAATACTTTGAGGAAGTATCTGATGCATGTTAAAGAAGTATCTGACAAGTATCTTATCCCGTACTTACCCAATATGAATATATGAAGCAATTTAAAGTATCCATGTTCTGCAGACTTTAAGATATGAATATGCATAGTATGTAAATTTTATGCATGTGTAACAATATAGGTATTTGCTTGTACATGCATTCATATCAGGTACTGCCCGGTACATGCATTTATGTACATGGACAAACATCTTTTATTGCTTCAGTCCACATTTGACTGAGCTATATGTTAACTAGAAGTTTTTGCGACTGACTTTACAGGTGATATCCATGCCAGGGCAACAGGAGAAATGCTTCAGTTGTGGTCAAATTGGACATCTTGCAGCTGACTGTAGAGAAGATAAGAAGTCTGCAGATGGTACACCTATTTACAAAAAGAAATATCAGGTAGCATACTAAACAATGAAATATGTCACATGACCTGGTTATTCGATTCATCGGTCATAAATTATTGCATGTTATGATCAATATGTCCTTGTACACTAAGTTTTTTATTGTGTCCACAGTTTCTTAACATCTGGGTTTTGCGAGAGTACTTGGAGAATGACCTGGAAATATGTGATGCTCCATTTGCAATCAACTTTGAACGGCTTGTGGATGATTTTGTCTTTTTATGTTTTTTTGTTGGAAATGACTTTCTCCCACATATGCCCACTTTGGAGATTCGCGAGGTTGGTAGCCTACTGAGTCCTCTTCTCCTGTTTGGTCTTTGTTCCTTTTGGATTTTACGTTTTAGATCGTTGCACACATTTCAGATGATCTATCAGAATCTTTATAAAATTAGGAGACCTAGTGTCTATGCATATGCTAAAGATGACTTTGATGCTGCAGGGTGCAATAAATCTTCTTATGTTTGTTTATAAAAGGGAGTTTATAGCGATGGGTGGTTACCTCACAGATTCTGGTGAGGTAATTTCTCTCCAACTGCTGTTCTATTACCTGGATACATGGTTTCTTCAAGTGGTTATTATTCAAAATGTCAAGTATGCTAAATTACACACAACTTTAAATATGACGTGCAATATTTTTCCATTTATGAATTGAATGTTCACTTAGTTAAGAGTTGACTTTTTACAGAATGCCTGTAAGGTATGTGTTTCGCTTCTGCTCCATTGATGGCAATCCTATATTGCTCATTCGGCTTAGATGGTTGGGTTCCACACTTCCTAATTCAGCATCTATTGCATAGATTTTTTATCCAGAATTAATCAATCCTAGATGAAGTATATAATGAAGGCACCGCCTGATTTTACTGTTTTAATTCTTTGTGTCATCCAACAATCTTAATAGAGATGGTGAACACGATATCATCTCCAGTAGTTAGGCTACCAGGAGACATGGATGCAAGATGTGCTATATGGCAAAAAGGCACATCCACCAAAAACGATTCGAATGTTTGATATTTACATGGCATCCCTCAGCAGTTAAGTTTCCAGTACAGTTGGAGGAGGTAAAAATAATAAAAAAATTGTGTACAGCGGGGAAACATCTACCTGAAAATCTAACCATTCAATTTTCTTCATTCATACCTGCTGCCGCTAATGAAGTCTTAGCTTTTGGATGAATTCCCTCGGATTTGAGTCCTTTGCTGATACATGATCGTCAAACATCATACTTACTGCTTGTTCTACAAAATTTCTGTTTTAAATTTATGAAACATAAGCTTAAATAGCATGTTGAAAATTCTCAAGAATTTTTTGCCGTGGTGGAGACCAACTTTATTCTGGTCTTGTTTCCTTCTTTACATTAGACATTGTATTTTCGATTGGTCGCCAGACCTTGATTCGTCATGAGTGGTAACCCTGTTGCAAACAGCAGATCACTATATTTTGGATTATTGATATTGACCCTGTAGCAACAAAGATCCAGATAAGCAAAAACCTTGCAACTTAAGTTTTTAGGATGTCGTATTGGTCTGCGCACCATGAACCATTTGCTGTGTATACAATTCTTATCCTTTATGTACCACTATTGTCTTATTAAGTGCTAGGCTGTATTTTTCTTGTTTCTCTGGAATCTTGATTTGGAGGCATTTATATTCAGTTTAACTTTTGATCTCTCTTCTAGTTTTTGTTCAGTCACTCATATAACATAAAAAGTCTCAATTTTTCTAGTGTTTTTATTGATCTAGTGGCTCTGCTCAGCATGGTTTTTTGCTGGCAGATCAGTTGTACTTGCAGCATCAGCTGAACATATGTCAAAGTTTCAAACATTTTCTTCAGGAAAAACAAGGATTTCTGTTATTCAATGTCTACCCACAGCCAAACATCTTATTCCTATAGTTATGAAACATCAGTTGTACCTCAACATATATCTAGGTGAAAGATGTTATTAATGAGAAATTAGGTGCAAGGATGACATGAATTAGTAAATAATATGCCTCAAAAGTGATGAAACTGGAGGTACTTCTCTTCCAACAATATTACCATTATAAAAAATTTAAATTTTACTACTGTACTGCTATTGATTTTTTGTACGTGTATTTTGAAATTTTACTGCATGGTCCAATGGTCTTGCTGTTAGGACATTGAATGCTGAACCTGAGTTTAAATGTCAGTGGGCCCTAGTTTATTCAGTCTTCTGAATCTTCTTCAGAAGGTTCTCCAAAAACTAATTAGTAATAATATTTTTTATTATATAATTCTTCTTTTAGGGGCTTTGTTGTTGTATTTGAGAAATAAGCTGATATTATTAATGTGCAGCATCAAATTTGCACTAACATCTGATACTTCCATGCATCTAGGTTTCATTGGATAGGGTGGAACACTTTATTCAGTCAGTTGCTGTTTATGAAGATCAAATATTTCAAAAGCGGGCTCGCATTCAACAGGTGAAATGTTATGTTTATGCCACCTTGAAAGCACAAATTGCCCATTGCTTGCTATTTACATAACATGTATTTACTCTTTAGCGCATGCATCTATTTGACCATTGCTTTTATTCTTTGAAAGAGGCTCATTTTATGCAGAATTCTTTGTTGATTTTAACACATTTCTACTATCGGATGTTATTAGTATATAACGGTAACTTAGGACAATCTCAATTATCGAACTATGGTTTTTTTGCACATGGAGAAGATGCAAGGAAATGTTGTACATCTTATATGGAATGATTCTTATGTCTCTGATTGTGGTACCTTAATATAAAATGCTAAATTGGCTTTTTTTTTTGTAGATAAAATGTAATTAAAAAATGATGATGATAAATGGTTTAAAGTAAAAGAAAAATATTGAGACAATTAGGTGTCATTGTAGATAATATTTGTTCATACAATTAGAATAAATGTGGTAAATGAAGCTTTAAAGATGATGAAATTGGAGAGGATTGTAGGATTTAATGGTTTCACTTCTGAAGTTTGAAAGAATGAGATCAAGAGTAGTTTGATTGACTATTTTATTTAACGAAATATTGAGGATAAGAAAAGATGCATGCTGAATAGAATAAGAAATTTTTATTACCTAACTATAAGAATAAGAGATTTTCTTTGACTGACATTTTTGGAAAGGCTGATTGAAAGAAGAATATGATGCTACATAAGTATTCCCAAAGATCAGTTTCGTTTTATATCTGGATAATCAACCATAGATGTTTTTTATTTGTTGAGGCATTGGTATAGAGAGGAGAGGTTTGTATATAGTTTTATTTTACTTAGGGAAAGCTTATAATAAATTATCCATGAATCATTATCATGATCAACCAAAGAATGATATAAATCAGTAAAATAACTAGCTAGGGCCACTTGAATCACTATCAACTTTTGCATATAAATGTTTTATATCTAGATAATCAACCATAGATTTTTTTATTTATTGAGACAATGGTACAGAGAAAGCTTATAATAAAGTACCCATGAATCATTATCATGATGAACCAAAGAATGATATGAATCAGTAAAATAATTAGCTAGGGCTTCTTGAATCATTATCTACTTTTGCATATAAATGTTTTATATCTGGATAATTAACCATAGAATTTTTTTTATTTATTGACAATGGTACAGAGAGGAGAGATTTGTATATAGCTTTATTTTACTCAGGGGAAAAAGCTTATAATAAAGCATCCATGAATCATTATCTTGATCAACCAAAGAATAATATAAATCAGTAAAATAACTCACTAGGGCCTCTTGAATCATTATCAACTTTTGCATATGAATGGTTATTTTTTTCTAATTTTGTTTTTGGGCCAAAGATTTTAGGGTTGTTTTGCTATTTGGTGTAACATTCTGCAGTTTATAGTTGTATCTCATGTGCACATTAAATTTGTTGAACTGGTCCAATATAGCATCTTGCTGATCATTGCTTGTTTCAAGCTCCAAAATTGAGTTTGATTGGGTTAACTAAGGGTGGAAAGTAGTACGATTATTAGGATTTATTTAAGATATGTTTAAAATTATTTTGTTCAGGAAATAAACAGTACTATTGGTATCTAGGGTTTGTTATTGATTTTTGACTATCAGCTTAAAATGCCTAAATTCAACTAAAGCAAGTATCTAGAAGTGTCGTGTGTTGGGTGTGTATGCTGGATGGTTTTGGGCTTCTGCCTTTTCTTTGGTCTACCAGTTTTTGTCATTAATTTATTGAAAATAAGACCTATGTTATTGTTAAACATGACGTTCTCTAATCAAGTTCTAGAACTGTTGAATGACTAATTGCCCACAGAGTTATACTGTGGTTTATTTTTTTGATTTATGACTTTTAGTCTGTGGCTTACGGGAGATTACTGGAAATATTAAATAAAAATTCAATAATGCCATTTGTGGTAATTTTAACTAAAATTTGACTGCTTGCAGACTAGACATATTTTTATAATGCTTTGTACTCAAACTATACCATTCAATTGACATGATGCAATAACTGTAACTTTCACTTAATATATTATTATCATATTACCTGTTAATTACTTGTGACTGTTGACGTAGCAAATTCTATCTTGAATTAAGAATATTTCTTTTGAATGGTATTATCACATTTTTGTTGATATATGTTAAGTTCTTTTAATTTCAATAAATCTTGTTATTAGTGCTTTCTATTGCAGATAATAACAGAAATTCTGATGATTGATGGCAGGCATATGAGAATAATGAAGAGATAAAGCTTAAAATGCAAAGAGAGGGTTCAGAGGATATTCAATCTGCATACACTGACAAGGTTTGCTTGGTTGTAAATATGGTTATGGCATGAGATATTCATGGACATGTTAGAGACAGTACTTAAGACCATTACCCATGTATACACACATGTATATCGTTCATTGATTTATGTACAAACATATATGGATATGAATACTTTGTGTTAACTGCTCTTTTCATTAGATTTTGGCTTGTCAATTTTGATCAGTTTGGTTCCTTTAATATATCTGAGACTAACGAGACACTGGAATAAGCAACAATATTAGAGTTAGTTTGTAAGTATTTGGGGCTGGCATATTAGCTCTTTATTTTAACTTGGAGTCTTCATCAGTTGACATCTACTGGTTTGGGGGGCATCTTTGGATGGTTCACTTGGATGCTTTTGGTGTCTAGTAGACAGAAAATAAGTTCATATCTAGATTCCTAAATTTAAAAGCCAAGGGTTAAAATCTAATCATTTTAAATTTAAAAAGTGATAAGCAGCAACCAATTAAGTCTCTGAGTATGGATACATTCTTCTGTAAATAAGGGTCATGCACTGCAGAGGATTGAAAATTTGAAATCATTATAATTTGATGTCTTATTGATCATAATTGTTTTTGTGGCTGTAGTCCTTAGTGAATCATCATATTTCTATTTCTCTCTATATTCTTCTTTCACTGTTTTGCTTTAAAATGCTCTCAACTTTTTCCTTTGATCTTTATTCATGTGTGTGT